CAATTTTAATTCTTCTTATAATACGTAGTGGTCCAATCGTATCGTGATCTGAGTATGCACTCGCCTCATTATAAAACAAGTCTCTAATCCACGCCACTGTGATATTTTTGCAATTAATGACTCGAAGAGTGGGGTTTCAACTTTCTTCACTTATACGCAACTTTTTGCACAAGTCATTGAAACTTTGTTTATCGTGGTCGTGTTCCACCGTAGTTCTATCGGAGCCAAGAATAAATCTGAGTAGAAGCAACAAACGTTCTAGTGACCCTCTTAGAGCCAACGAATATGCAATTTGAAGAATTTTCATTCAAGATCGTCCGAATCAAGCTCATCCCAGAGGCGGGGTGACGCTTGGGCGATTCAGAGCCAACTTCGTAATGGCGTTCTCCCACACGCGCGCTGTTCGATGGTATCTGCCACGCATCGTGCATTACGATACGCTCGCACCTGCAAACGTCTTACTACAGGCAGCAGTTTTGGGACTCAGAATGAAATATACAGCAGTCGCACAATGGCCAGAAAACTCGTCCTGCTTGCCTCACCTGTCGGAATGACACACTTAAATAAGATTGTTGTCTCAATATGGTGTCATTCCTTCGGTTCCGGTAAACATTCCCAAAACATGTTCCTCCTTTTCTGTCGGCATTGACTTGTTCGCACATAATTTGTTTTCTTGTAGAATAATTCTCACTATTTTACAAATGATCAACAATCTGTGTTAACACGACAGATAAAATGAGAATTAATAATAAAACACATTGTCAATAAGAATTTTGACTGTCGATCAATGATGTTTGATTTTGATGTCTGTGATTTCTGTGAACATTTTATGATGTTTACAATCGTCGCAAGCATCGATTACCAGACTACAAAATTTAAAATCAAACTAGGGCATTAGAGGCAAATGCATTCTTCTGTTAATTGGTCCAAAGTTGTATTCTCACATCTATCTGCCTTTGTAAGTTATTATCTGGCATTTGATACGACAAATTACGACAATGCACGTGTCGCCAATTTGGTCTGGAACGTATTTTATGTGGAGCTGACATCAGGTGCGTTACCCTAGGGTTTAATTTAACCTGCTGATTAGGGGCGCGCCCTTGGGAAAGCCGTCAGCTCGGCGCACGTGCACAGAATTCGGGCGCGTTTCCCAACGATGCGATCTCCACCACATCAACCACCTTCATCACCAGCACCATCAATTTCATCACCACTTCCAGCGTCAACATCATCTAGCGGCCGACTAATCCGATCGGTAGTTTTCCGGTTTTTTTTATCAACACCCGGAGAATACCGGAGCAGTACCATACCAAGCGGGCCACGGACTGCGCGCGATCTCACCTTCCTCTTCCCTATTCTATCCTCACCACCTTTCACATACACTTACACTAACATGCACTACACTACCACAAATGCCGGGAGACCCGCCGAGAGCTAAGAGCTTGTCGCGGATGGGGCCGTGTGGACAGAGGTTGGTGGGAGATACGTGGTTGGGAAAATATCGCTAGCCGACGGTAGGTCGGCGCCGGATCTTGCTATCCAGCGCGGAAAAGATCATCGCCACCTCCCGAGCAAAAAACAACATGCATTACATGTCCAGGCTTAATGACCCTGGTAGTCGACGTGCCCAGAATCAATAATCAATCAATCATTTCCTTCACAATTGTTTCCTTCACGATCGTTTCTACTACCACCACCAACCCCAATCCCATCATTTCCACCACCATCACCACCACCACCACTGCAAACATCATCATTACCACCACCATTACCAACGTCGTGAAACCGGCTTAGGTGGCTCAGGGCATCAATTGATGTCATTGCAGGGTCTATGGCCAGGGTTTCTAGTGTTCGAGACCCGCTAAGTGGCAGCGTTTTTGCTAAAGAACTGGGTGGATTTCAGCCGCTGTCTGGAGGAGAATTCTAGCATTCGGCTGCTCTGATCAGTATTTTTTGCGGTTTATCCAATCAACACGAATGCTGGGGCAGTGCCCTAGCAAACTGGCCACGGACCCACACAATCGAAATGCTTTTCCTAGTGCCGATTGGAGCGGTGATACGCTGGTGGGAAAACCTAGGTGGGGAAAACCCAGGCCGACGAGTAGTTCAGCGCTGGATCCCGCCCTAAAGTGAGGGAAGCTCACCACTCCCTCTCGCGATAAAAGCATGCACTACACTTACGGACTCATGTCCTTAGCAATTGATGCGCCCGGAATCACTAATCAATCAACACCGTTGACGCATCCACCGCCACTCCTACCGCTTCGCTGTCATCACCTTCCCCGAAATGACCATCCCCGTCACCGTTACCGTCACCGTCACCGCCATCTCCGCTATTTTGGCCTGGATGCTCGCCGCGAACATTTCTGCGGCGCACGCAGACGTAACGAAGTGGCTGGCTGCCGGAGATGTCTGAGCCCATGGGCGGAGGTAGGGTTGCGACTGGAGGTCAGGGCACAGAAAAGACAAAGATGCTGTGGCACAGGCTCCGGAAGGCATAATCATATTTGTTGATGACCTCATGCCATACACTGCGTCCCTCTACGTACGGTGTTTAATGTATCTACTTACTAAACATATTTTCGTCTTGGTTCCTGGAAATTAAAATGTAGACGTAACTGACCCTTGTCTCAGAATTGTTCTTTTTGATATAAGGAATGGATAAACACTTCATGGTTAACACTTATTTTGACTGAATATTAACGTTCCATCATGAAGTATGTTTGTAGAATGTAATTATAACTATGATTGTAACACTACAGATTTTAACTAATACTTCTAAAACTGCACCGACTATCGTACGATGTCTCATATGATTTCTTATTAAGCAATAAAATAACTTCTTTAGAAAGTTGGGATAGAATAACATCACGTATTTTGTTCGTTGGATACCGGACGTGTGTCAATCTACCTCTCTAAGATGGTGGAGATGACATTTCCGATAAGGGCATGGTGAAGACTTAGACCTACAAGAACCTTGGCGATGACACTAAAGGATTTGGATCGAGCATACGATAATTCATTTTGATCGATTATCGACCACGAGAACATGTCAGAGTAGCAGTGACAAAAACGTCAATAGGTAAGATACGATAGTGCTCACGTGATTTTAATGACTCAAAAATAATTACACTGAAGATGGGATGAGTTATACCAACAACCAAAAGTAGAAAAGAAATAAGAAAAGAAAATGAAAATAATCCGTAGATTTTCTCACAACAATTGTAAATAACACTAAATATTCAGAACTGATAAAGATTCTACATCAGACATGAGCCTATAGAAAGGTGTTGTGGACTAGTCCATTCCGAAATAAAATAACAATATTCTGACTAATAATTTTTCATCAGTCTTTACATCCTTGGAGGTTACAACTGTCTAAAAACAGTATAAATGTACATCAGTTTTAATGAGTATCAGTAGTAAATTCGCATTTTGAATTCGATATTAAGAACCTACAAAGTTTTTATGACTCTAGGGTGAGTTCTATAAGAAAATGTCGGCTAAGGCATTGACGTTGATTCTCATGAAATTCAGTCCTAAACCCGAACGTAATGTAGAGCGCACAAATAAGTACTTCCTTCTACCTTCAATACATAAACTTGTTCTCGACAGGAAGCACTATTGCGCACGTGCTTGGTCAGCAAGAAGATTATAAAGAAGAAGTACAACATCTCTGGTTACGAGAGTCAGATTTCTCGTTCAAACAATTCCTATTTGAAACTTACTCTTAAATACTTGCAAAATTTGAATTGTTTTGAAGAGGCCACTGGACGTGAAAACTAGTATTGAGTGTGCAGGATAATATTTATGAGAGTAAAACCTATTGGAAATTCCAGAAAATGTAAATAGCAAATGTCGTAAAGGTTAGTAACAAGTTTGATTATTTTAGTGAGGATTTCAGGTAGATACACGTTTGTAGATCCATGTCTGTCGTGTGCGTCAATGACAGAGACACCGATTTTTTGAGTGATTCGTGTTTCCGGGCGCGTCTACTACTAAGGTCATTGGTTTCGTAAGTGTAGTACATATTTTCATCGCGTGCGGTGGCGGTGATCTGCCCCCGCTGAGTGGCGAAATCCGGCGTCGACCTACCGTCAGCTAGCGGGGTTTTCCACAATCAGGTATCTCCTACCAACGGGGAACCGCCCCAGTCGGGATAAACTCTAAGCTCCCGACCGATCTTCCAGCATGTGTGGTAGTGTAGTACAGATTAGTGTGTGTGTGTGTCTCTGTGTGTGTGTGTGTAGAAGTAAGGGGTGAGGATATGATAAGGATGAGAAAGGAAAGATTCCGCGCGGCCCATAGCTCGTTTGCTAGGATACCGCTCCAACATTCACATGGAGTTGATCCGAGAAATTACGGAAAATTACCGATCAGAGCAGCCGGTCGCTAGAATTCTCCTCCAATCAGCAGGTGACATCGACCTACAGCTATATATTGAACCTAGGTATGAAGCTAGTGTCGAAAATCCTGCCACCAGATTGCGCTGACATTGACCTAAAGCTATATTTTAACCTATTGCTATGTAGCTAGTGTCGAAACGGGCCTGTAACCTAGGACCTCCTTGTCAAAGGCACTGCAGTTGATGCCCTGAACCACCCTCCCAGTACAAAGACACTAGTAACCGTTGAAAGGAAACCGAAAACGCTCGTAGGAAGAAGTTTCGTGGCAGCCAGAGCCAGAAACACGACGTCGACGTAACGGCCTGAGCCTCGGGCGGGGGTGGGTGCGACGCAAGGCGCTCCGCGGATTTCGCGGTCGGCCGGGCCGCGGGCGGCGGCGGCGCGGCGGCGGCGCGGCGCGGCGCGGGTCATCGGCCGAGCCTGTCCCCATTCCTGAGGCCGTCCCTCGATACGGCGTGCCACCGCCACCGCCGCCGTCGCCCGAGGCCTGCCGCCGCTCCACATGCCCGCCCCAGCCGCCCGCCGCCGCCGCCAGTGCCAAATTATTGCGGGAATTGAGGTCGCTCTAATGAGCCCGCAGGCGAGGCCGCCGCCATGACGGGGCGGGGCGCCGTGCGAGAGAAGCCAGCCGCGGGAGACGGGGATATGGATCGCGCCTACTGGAGCTTCGAATGCGTCATGCCGATGCTCGCCAAGGTCTGCGCATTGATATGTGGTTCTAAACGTATTTCCAGGTTTTGAGGATCATGATCGCTTCTTGTAGAATGTTCATTACATCTCTCATGTTTTGTAATGTGTATTGTTTATACATAATTCTTTGAAAATTGTTTATTTTACAGTAAAATACCCATATGTTTTCCTAAAAGGTCATAGTTCCTTATTCTCCTTGGCAATAAAATAAATTATTTGCATGAGTTGTGCGGAAAAAATATATTATACCTGTAATCTACTAAATCGGAAGTCTTTAGTCGTTTTGATCTTCGGTTTTCTGGAATGTTGGCCAGTATCTTTATTGGAAGGTGATATCCGAAAACAATATAAGTTCAATGGCGAGAGCTTTTATTTTTGTAAGGTTAACATTTCAAGCGCTCTTCAAGTGTGCCACCTCCGAAAAATCGCAGAGCTTTTTTGGCACGAAAGTTATTGCAATTTTTTAAAATTTCAATTACGCCGTTTTTGAGAGAAATTTACTCACAATAATGGCGGTTTTCGTAAATAAGCAAGTTATAATAATATTTATTTATTTATTTATTTAAATAAATATTATTATAATAATATTTATGGACAGCTTTACACTTCCATGTTTGGTCAAAATTAAGTGCGTGTATTTTGCTCCGTGTTTTCTCGAAGCAGTAAAACTGAACTTGTTCGCTTAGCAGCGTGGCGCTCTGCTTCGTAAGTTGCGTTATAAACTATCGCAACGCATATCTGAAGTAAGAGCGACGGAACACTTCACGCCGTTCTGACCTCGGCGGCAGGCCTCCGCGTTTGCTAGCACATAGATCGCAACACGATGTCTATTGTTTGGCTGTGACAACATACAATATCTACAAAAAGAGTTCATGTGTGTCGTAAAAACACGCGAAAGCATTTTCAATCCTTTTCTGTTTCGCAAATAAAACAATATCCTAACAACTCCATTTATTTCCCTTCATGTGTAAACATGTTTTAGAACTGACCAAGAACAAAATAATGTCATCTTGCTTAGCACTAACCAGAAATAGATTCCATTTATTTACAGAAAATAGTTTTAACAAGTAATGTTTACTTGTTTCAATAAATTAATTGTTAAATTGAAGTTTCGTTAGTTCTTATGTTTACAGATTTGATATTTTTTCAATATTAATTTCATTATTTCGAAGATAACAGTACATCTATATTTTACATTACTATTTCTCCCCTCGCAGCCTGTCCCAAATGCTTCTGCAGGTACAGTGTTCCAGTCATTTATTGTACGATATATAAAGATCAATTTTCCCTAGGGCGTAGCAGATCGCTGTGTTTGTGCTCGAATTCTGAAATTATGATCCCCTCTGCTTCTATACGTCGGTTCCAATAATCTTCTCCGAATATTCTTCCATGCAGGGAAACGTACATTCGCCTTAAAAAACGCTATGTCTAACGTATAACCCAGTAATTAGCCTAGCAACCTAAGGCTAGCAACTAATAAGTATCAATACCAGATAATTAACGAATTTTAGAATATACAATTAATAAGTGTGTTCAGAAAGTTAGCTGTGCAAATATTTTCGAGACTCCTTCTGATATAACACAAACTAAAGATTCCAGGTATAAAACAATGCTTTATGTGTCTTAGCAGGAATTGATCAATAAGATGTCGAGACTAAATGGCGCTTAATTAACTGAACTGTATTGTATTACGCACTGAGCAAAGTCGATCAGGGCGTAGATCACCGACTTGGCATTCGGGAGGCCCGGGTTCAATACCCGTGCTAACCATCCTCACCGAGTTTTTTGTGATGTCTCCCCGTCATCCAGACGAATGCAGGGATGGTTCTGGAAGACCACGACCATCAAACCGGCAAATTGACTACGAGAATTCACGAGGGACAAGCGAATTGGAAACATCGCTCTTTCCTAGTTGTGGCGACTACAAAACCTGGAATCTCACGGCCAATTGCCCCTTACGAGACTTATAATCGATAAATAAATATACGAATACAAAAAATTATAGTACGTGACGTTATAAAAAGTGACAGAACAACCAAACAGGAAGTCATTTATCACTCATTTTTATACCTTCATACGTTAACAGGTAATCAACAACATTTCTCACTACTCATAAATGCGTACATAATCTCGTCCTTAACATCTAGAATACGAGTCTGCAAATCGCGCCTAAAACTGGGTTCGTAATGCCAAGGCGAGATTTGACAAGACAATCATTTAAGAAAAAGACGGGAAGCGATACCGTTATGTTCTGCATTATTTCGTCGAGTTATTCAGCTAGAATATTAAGGATTTAAACTGTATCGCATCGTAATTTATTAATTGATAGATAGCTAGGCCCTTGAAGTGCTGCAAAGCAACAAAAGTATCCTTTTTCAGGGATATGTTTTCGGTTTTTCACCAATGATTCTTATAATTAGATATGCACACTCAATGCACTTTTATGAACATTTTTAACTATTTTCAATGTCTTAAAGCACACGATGCGGCTCAGCAAAGAGGTTATTTCATTTTCAAAGTTAGTTTGTTAAAACTAGTTTTGACGTATTTCGTGTTTGTTACCAATACAGTGAAACCTGTCCTAAGCACCCATCGATGATACCGAAAAAATGGCTGTTAGTGCAGGTGAACGTTTAATTAAGGGAATGAAAATATGAGTTACGAACATCCGTACGAATGTTATTTGCATGGAACTGTAGTATAGTTTCCTCGTTTTTACATTTTTAATTACAGTGAAATGTGCAACTTAGCATATGCACGAGTGCACCAGTGCCATATTACTTCTTGCATTTTAAATATTTCAATTTACAGTATTTGTTTTACTTTCTTTTACTAACCATTGTTTATGTCTTTCAATTTGTGAAATTGATTTTCATCTACATTTTACGCTACAATTAACGCCCTGAGGTTACTTCAGAAATTATTTTTAATGTAAATTAGATATTATACTCGACATAAGAAATTCTACGTATTTGGCGTTGACGTATTTGGCTCTGGCGATGCAACCCGACGCAGTACCATACTAAATAAATAATAAATTCTGTCCGTCTTACTTTTCGTACAACGTCGCATATCAAAATCGCAAATTCGTCACGAAAGTTTACAGGTAAATCTACTAAATGTATCTGATCGCTGAACGCACGACTAGTTGTCCGTTTAATAGATTGTATACTAGTTAAGTTTTTAACAGCTTTCATTAATTTCGCAATTAATTCTACAAACTTCTAGTGGCATCCCCTCCTTCGGAATGTTAGCTACCAGTTACCGAATACTGATACTGGACTTTTTTGAGCAATTGTGAAATCGGTGCCGGAGTCATAATTTACAATGTTGAATGCATTTGATTATTACGAATCACATTGGCAACGAACGAAAAAACTGCAGCGGTGGCTGTTTTTTGCGGCATCCATCTTCTCTATGAAGACCCCACGTTTATTTATCTCGATGCAATGGAGAGTTTAACTACAGACGTTTGCGCGCTGTGCGATGCCTCATCCTTTCTGGAGTGGTAAGGTCCATTACCTCCATTTGTGTATCCGGCACTGGGCAAGCGAAGGGGCGTTTCCTCGACCCACTCTCATAAGAGTGATGGATTAATTCTGGAGGGCGCGGCCTCCGGGTGTCTGGCGTTGCCTCGCCTCCACCGCCTCCACTGTCGTTTCCGCGACCTCCAACGTAGAATTTGCCGTCGCAAACAATAGCGCTGACTACTAAATTTTGAAGCACCATTCTTGCCTTGGTGTAGATAGATAGATAGGATGATATGTTTTACTTAAGGTTTAACACTCGATGGTACGTTTATTGAATACAATACAATAAACCAAAACAACAATACAATCAAATAAATCACTCATTTGTGATTTTAGGATTCTGTAGAAGACCATCTTTCGGGGTTCGGTCTGTACATTCTAAGGAATTAATTTTAATATAGATTGTAATAGTGTTAGAAGAGCTTCCCACTAAAGTGTGAAATGAGTCCTGGCTGTAATAAATGGAACATAATAGTACGTAGAAAAACAGAATTTTGAAACGGAGCAATAATATAACGACAAATCATTCATGCAGTTTAGTGTTGATAGAGGAGAAAGAAGATTAAATACATATATCAAACTTACCTGAAAACGTACGTGTTTCGAAATTTCAAAAAACATGTTGATAATATTTTAATGTAACATGTTATTGGTATTTTATGTTAAAAACATGAAAAATAATAAAAACTAGACAAGGAAAGTTAAAAGAGACATGTTTGATACAAATTTCCATTAATTTTATAAATTAATAAGTTGAACCCGAACATTCAACTGGTCGCAATGTACTACGTTGAAGAACGAGTGCGGTAGAAGCACAAAACGTTGAGTGGGTATAATCAAAGTACACAATGCTGTATGCGAATGTTTATATCATGTATAATCTTTTAATATTAAATATGCTTAGATTATTGTACTATGAAACGTGTCGTTTGGACTTAAAATTTACCTCACATAGCGTATTTTTAAACTGTTTTTCGTGCCAATGTGTTTTCATTAGTGCCTTCAACATTGGTTAAAGGTTTACCTCTAAATGAAAATATCATTGTCATCATAAAGGCTCAAAGTGCCTTATGGCGGTCGTCTGACATTCTGTCCTCCACTGTACTTTTCATTCTGCACAGTTTTTGAATTTTCATTGGGTTTGAAGTTGTTCCCATATTTTTATTTTAAGTCTCCCGCTTCCTTGCTTTTCCAAATATTTTACATTCCGAAATTGTATATAAGAATTTGTTATGCTTGAATATGTGTCCGAAACCTTTTTGCTTTCCTGTTCCAAATGGTTTTTAATAGGGATCTCTTCTCTTTCAGTTTTAGTAAAATTATATTGTTTGAATTTTTTTCTGTCCAGGAAACCTTCAGTATTTTTCGCCTCAACCATATCTGGTAAGCTTCTCAACGACTTTAAAAGCGTGCAGCCTTCACAGCTGTTTAATAGGAAAATGTCACGTGGCGTATAATAATTCAATCTGGAATGTTTGGATCACGCGTTCTGCGAATATCTAAAAGGAAGGTAGTGAATTAAAAAGAACAGTACAATTAGTTTGAAATCGGGGATAATGTTTCTGACCGCCCGTTTACGCAGATTTCAAGAGAAAATATTTCGTTGTTCACAAAGGGAGGCGGTCTCGAGGCCGCACAAATTCTTTTTGCAATATATTCATTTTTCATGCGCTTCGATTAATGACAGAATGCAGACTCTCGTTTTCGCTAATATATCTACTGAAAGGGTATTTTCTTCGTTTTTTCCCTTCAAATCGTATTGTTCTCCTTTTTTCATATCCGTTAAAAATAATTAAACAAAACTGTACATTTTGTACAGTTTGTTCTATGTAGTATGCTTTAAGTTGTGTATTAAATAAAGATACACTTATTATTATCATTGCTAATATCATTATTATAATTTTAGAGAGACTTTAATAACAAAGTTATAATAGAACAATGAGACGTAAGAAAAAGAGGAAATAAGTAGGCTCGGAATATTGACGAATATTAAACAAGGAGAGAAGTACATAGAGATTAAGAGACAAAACAATGCGGTGGAAACAAGTCAATTGAAACCTGTATTTAGAAAGAGTAACAAGATGATAATAGAATTACGAATAATAATAATAATAATAATAATAATAATAATAATAATAATAATAATAAGTTAGATAACATTTGTAACATTTTGAATTCATGCCGTACGTTTCACGTGGCTGACGGTGGAACTTTAACAACGAAATGTACGCGTAAGGTAAAAATTGCATAGTGAAGGCAATATGAATTACCTTACAACGTGTTCAAAATGGATGCCATAACTCGTAAGCTGCAGCGTGAACGCCCGCGCATATAATAAAGTAAACAGACGTACCACTTGGTAACGCTTTCTTATACATGTCCCTATATAATATACCGCTTATCCTCGAGATATCAAACCAGCGAAGGTGGTTCAGGGCATCAACTGATATCATTGCAGTACCTCTGACCAGGAATGTAGGGTTCGAGTCCCGACGCTGGCAGGATTTTCGACTTTACCTAGACAGCTAGATCCAGTTGAGCCGGTACGTGGATAATAATTCTAGCTACCGGCTACTCTGATAGGCAGTTTTGCGTTGTTTCTCTAATCACCACCAGGCGAATGCCGGAGCAGTATCCTTACAAACGGGCTACGGACCGCGGGCGATCTTTCCTTCTTCCCCTTTCCTTTCCTTGTCCTATCCACACCCCTTACTTACACAAACACTCACATGCACTATACTATTACACTTGTCGGGAGACCAGTGGGGAGTTTAGAGCTTGTCTCGGTTGGGTCCGTGCCCACTGTTGGTAGTTACCTGTTTTGCGAATAACCCCGCAAACCGACGAAGGTCGCCAGCAACCGGGGGAAGATCACTGTCCCCTCCCGCGATGAAAACATGCACTACACTTACGGGAACGAAGGCCTTTGCAGTACACGCGCCCTGAATTACTACTCAATCAATCGAATGTCAAACACCGTATTGCAATATATTATTTTTGCAATTTTATTTTTTACAGAATTGTTGAAAAAATGTTCGTATATCATGCGTAAAATACACTGAACATGAAAATACCTATTTAAACACTAACGTTAAGAAATCATAATGTTGAATGTCGCGTGGTTTACAGTGCATAGAGATCAGTGGCGACTCGTGAACAAATGTTGAAAGTAGACTAAACTAAGATTACCGAACTATGGAGGATTTGGAAAGTGTGGGGAGACCCTACTTCATTTTTTTTTAAATTACTTCATTTATTAAAAACCTTGGGCATATATTGATTGCATTAGATTTCTAGTAGAATTCTCATCTAAAGAAGTTCACAGTTACATTTTCTACAAACATTTTATGAAAAGGGGTCCGAAATGTAACAAATACTTTCGGAAACCCTTTCTGCAATACCTTTTTGATACCATCCATGATCCATTACATAATTATATTATTTCACCAGCCGGAGATACATTGGAGTAGGTCAACATTTCTAATTTTTCTACACTGTTAGACTAAAAACAGCGTAGGTACGAGTACTTTCACTGTATCAGTCATAACACTGACGTAAAAAAATATTTAAACAGGTTCTTCGCTGTGCGGCATTAATTTGATCGGATTACTAAGTTTTTCACGAGGGCAGATGGAATTATAATTTTCTTTCCATACATAAAACCCAAGCATGGATAATTTCTACTAAACTCATTAGAGACCTTTTCTGAGAATTCAACGAGAAACAACATAACATCCAAACATGTCTACACAGAGATGCGCGAGTCACTGCAGGATGAGCGGAAACAAATTACCCTATGTAGCGCGAGTGCATGTTACGAAACTCTTCAAATGAGAATGTAGCTTTTGCTACGAACATGAAATGTTAATTTTATATTTCCAGATGAAAAATACCTATTCTGTATTACATATGTAAGATTCATTTAAAGTTTATAATGTCTGAAATGTATAAAAGAATACAAATTGATCGGGGAAAGTGGCAAGAAGGCGCCATAGATAAGGTTCAGGGTATTCAGACGTGCTGTAATTGGCTATTGACGCTACGCGCCCGGTTCCCCTTACGCAGTCGCTGCGTCCTCATAGCGTCTGCCTCTCGCGTGTCTGCTCGAAGCAGGAGTTCGAACCCCGGAAACGGCGCCGCCCTGGATTCGCATGCCAAGTTTCTTCTGGCACGTGGTTGGGCCGCCGTTAGTAGGTTTGGCGCTCGCGCGGCCACTCGCGTAGATGGCCCGGAACGCCATTGCCTCACCTGACAGTCACGTGACAGGGAGCACCAAAGCAATCGCAGCCCGGATTTGGAGGTCGTGCCTAAAAGAGATTCACAAGCTCAGGAGGGGTGGAAAACTGAACTATGACGAAGAAAGGGCCAGGAGGACTTTTCGGGTTTAAAATCATAATTTTCAAATTAATTTAATTACAAATTTAAATAAATATGTTAAAATATGTATTAACGAAATACCATCAAATTTTCCAGACCATACATAGAGAAAGTCTGTGCTGCTCTACCGCTATTAGTGTTAGTCCCCCAGGTTGATACCGAATATGTGTAGCTTCCTGATCCAGAATTCTTGGGTTGCTTCTGGCCCGACATCCCGGGCTACTGCAGCCTCGTACTGTATAATCCGGGCGAATACAATGGAGGCATCACTCTCCCGTAATTGAAGTTTTCCTCGTTCTTTTCTGAGAAACGTGCTTTGGTGCCGTATTTCATCCTCTCAAGAAATGTCAGCGCCTTTAAACTTTGTGAAGCCTCAGAGTTTCATTAAAAATGTTGAGTGTTTTCTTTCTTAATTACTATAATAGGCAGGTCTGCTACGAAATAAATTAACATCCGCCCATTACCATTTCCGGAAGTTGGTTTTCTTAATGCGGCCCAGATTCAGATTTTTTAATTGAATTATGATATTCATGGTGCTTTGTTACATGCTTGCACATAGTAGTGAGTGAGTATTTAGGGTTCCCAACATTCTTCTCAGTCCCCTAATTGTAGTGCAGATTATGACAGTCTCCCCTCTGAAATGTGAGATCCGTCGGCTTGTGACGTAACCCCAACAGGTATCTCCCACGGTAGGGCTCCGCCCATGCGGGACAAGATCTGAGGTTCCGACTGGTCTACCGACGTGTGTGGAACTGTACTGCATATAAATGCGTCTGTGTGTAAGGGGAAGAGAAGGAGACAGGGACGACGAAAGGATGGTCGGGCACACAGTCCATGGCCCGTTTGTTATCGCGCCACTCCGGCATTGTTCAGAGATGCTGAGCCTACTTTGTGCAGTTTTGTGCTATGCTCGTTCACGCCACTGCGGTGCGACCATTCCTACCCTTACGGGCATCTATGGCCAATCCTGCAACAGAAAGAGAAACAGAAGGTCAAAAACGACTTTAGCCTACTAGCGCGCGCATTGCGTGTGCAGAAATGCTAAGTTTATGTTTCGAGTTTCATTTCTCTGTTTCAGATTACTCTTACTCCAGGAAATGCTTCGGTCGCCTATATTTCAACCCGTTGATCGTGTTGGTTTTAAGGCGATCTCGGAAATGAGACAGTTTGCCGTGTGATATGCTTTTTAAAAAAAAATTGACACAATATTTTTGATATGATCAATCAGTACCGGTATTGATAAATTGCGATGTAAATGTTCAATTGAAGTGTACCTAGGGGCGCAGAGGGCATTCGTTTTGAACTTCTTGCAGTTTCTTCAAATGTGTAATTGTGTTCACAGATACAACGTTTAGAGCTGTCCATCTCCTCTACGATAAGTTTTATCATTCCAATGTAATTAACGAATTTAGGTTTGTGCTGTTATTGAAAAATCAATTTTAGTGTTTTGATTATATTTACTGTCTAAACTGATGCCAAATGCTGTTCATCAGCATTTTCATTTTCGGTATTTTCGATATACAACGACAAAATCTCTTTAACAGTATTTGAAGAATTTGTATTTGCATTAAAATTTACTACATCTTCCATGTAGCCCTCAAATTACCCAGTGGTTATTGAAATGTATCACTTTAATTTGTTCCTCCTACTTATTTCACAAGACGCATTACTAGATCCGTTGACGTACAAAAATCACTCGTAAAAAAACCAGCATCATTCGATTTATTGAATCTACGATAACGAATAAATAACGAGTGACGCAGGAGGAAAAATGTGCGGTGCCGCGAGCGGTGCCAGTGTTGCAATATTGATTTATTTGTTCCACACCATTCGCTCGCGCTGACCCCTCCCTTCCCCTCCCTTCCCCCTCTCCACCCACCCCGCTGCCCTCGATGTCGATTCCGGCCGCGCACGATTCTAGGCATGCGCTGTACTTATCGAGGACACTTCCCTCTCCCCCCTCAACCTCCCCAGCCCCACCCTCTCCACCCTCCCTTCCCTCTTCCACCAAATGCTGCCTCACCCGCGGTTGACGACCTTCTATTTTATGTCCGTCCCGTCTACGAAGCCAGGAAATGTCAGCCTCGTTAAAATTTTACGCGACCTCCGAGTAACAATGTTCTTGGCTAGCTGAGGGCCGGCGACCGCCCAGCCCTGCCCCGCCCCGCCCCCGCGACTAGACAACAGCTGACCGCTAGGGGGAGGTGGTGAAGTGAACTCAAGACGGTGCCGGTGCGAGACGTACGCGCTTGTGTCCCGGTTGCGGAAGTTGCCTCTTGAACTACTTACGCCTACCTACGCCTACCTACGCCTTGAAGAAACCACGCAGGATTTTCGACACTAGCTTGTCAGCTAGGTCGAATTCAGCAGCTGTCTGGAGAAGAATTCTAACGGCCGGCTGCTCTGATCGGAAGTTTTTCGTGGTTTCTCCGGTCAACGCCAGGTGATTGTCGAGGCAGAACTCTAACAAACTGGCCACGTACCGCGTGCGATCTTCCCCAACCTCTTCCTTCTCCATTCCTCACCCCCTTGCACACACTGACTCTAACATGTATTTCCCGGCTGGGACGGTGCCCCGCTGGTGTGAGATACTTGATTGGGGGAAAACCCGCCGACGTTAGGTCGATGCCAGATCTCGCCATACAGCCATAAAAATCACCGCCACCTTCCGATCAAAAATGCACTACACTTACGGGACTGACCCTAGTAGTTGACGCGCCCGACATCATTAACAATCAATCAATCAATCAATCATGCCTGGCACCCTTAGAGGTTGCATCTGGAGTGAACAGTTAAAAAATGGTCTGTACACAATGAATTTTGACGAATGAATAATAATGAAATATGTCTTTACCAACATCTTTATTGATTAAAAGATGAACAGCTATTGCTGGCTTAGTCATAAAATGAAAATCTAAAAAATGATTAAAGTGATACCTTTTATTTCTCCTAGTCTTCCAATGCCAGCTACACTTAACCATCGCAAGTCAGTATACGACGAAGGTAGATTCGATTCAAGTTTATGAGTCGTGACTTTCTCGTTTTCCGGGAAGAAACTGTCCAATGCAAAAAACTAAAAAGAGAATGGTAATTGGAAACATAAATTGTTAACAAAAGTCGTTTTCGAACAGTAACGAAGGTTATTTGTATTTTACAAGAGATAAATGAGCAAAAAATTCAAGGTTCTTTAATCCCCCTAGTTGTTTAAGTTTAAATTAAGTATGGATGAACGAATCAATTCTCTTTCTCTCTAAGTAGAAAAATACGTTTTTGTCGATGAATTCAGAATGGCTGGAATTAGTTACATTTTCCACAATGAGTTTCGCTTTAAGTAAGACATTCATATTCACATCTCAATTAAATCGTGATAATTTGAAATATAATACGTATAAAACTTTTTAAATTTGTTTTACACAAGAAAACCACAAGAATTGAATCTTTGTAAGTTTAGAGCGACTGAATTCTTTACAGCAATGAAATATGTTTACAATATTGCTAGTAATTGAACAACAGAGTTGTTTTATTTTAAATGCAATGCATTAATACAATGAATTATTGACATTTTCATTTGCTATTGACTTTATGGGCCAATGTGCATAGTTTCCACACAAATTTTCAATGTATTAATCTTTTTATGAATATTCTGGGCTAGTTATTTGATAATATTGTCAATAAAAATAATAAAAATAGTAATAATAATAATAATACTGAATAGAATTTGTGCCCAATTTCATCAAAAATTCGATCTTGATTTATTATGTAACAGACTTCCGAAATTCGGACAACTCAATCTTTTCCTGTAGTAATGATATAATTTGTTTGTTTCATTTTTATACAAAATTATGGCATTATTCATTACTAGTGGGCGCATTTTGATGACCTAACATATTGCAAAAAATATCCATAAAATGGTCTTAAAATTCTTCGAAAATTCCCTAAAAGCTAAGAAAATGTCGTAAAAAATTGATCAATTCCACTTTAGATGTACAACTTGCTGTTGGATATGTTATGGATGTGATCGAGGCTTCTTCCTTTTGGTCAAGTGAACTGAGCTCGCAAACTTTTGGTGTGGACTATTCTTTAAAAGAAAATATCTGCCTTTATCACAAAATTGGCCGAACTGACAATGGCGCTGATAGGTATCACAGGAACCTTAGATTACAAAGTGCTATAATATAATAATATATAATAATGAGCAAAGAAATCGGATATGCTACTCCGGTATTCTGTAGTGACCATTTGTTGCTATTTGTAAATATTGTGTTAAGCAAGAACCATTAAAATTTTATTAAAATTGATGAAATCAACGAAGAAGCTTTAAAAATAACGTAAAATGTAAAAATTACTTATTAGTTGAAATCAATGAAAAATGCAACAAAAAAAATGACAAAAATAGTTCATTTCCTTTTGTCGTGACATAAAATGAATTTCCATACTAAACGGCATTGTCGTAAAATGAAAAGAAAAAAATGAAATTTTATTAGCAAACTAGCATCTCGCGTTTATGGTTTTAGTACATTCGTGAAAACAGATGGTAGAGAAAAAAGTCAGGCATCATTATTTTTTCTGTGCTGAATCACTATTTTTGGCCCTAACTTTGCCTTTATTGTGGATACCTGCTCCAGGCGTTTCATTAAAACCTAATTTTGTGCATACGACTACGGTCATGTACCTTTAAATCACACTCAGGTAAAGAAATTGGATAGAGAACATTTAATTAAAATTCAACGAGGTTCACCGCCACGAAATATAGGAGTGGCTAGGGGTGTTTTGGGTAACGACGCAAAATATTGAGTATATTGCTTATTATGGT